CTCTCACAGCAGATTCCCCAGGCAGAGCCGACAGGGACAGACCGAGGACAGCAGTGAGCAGGCCGAGCAAGCCCTGTGTCCACCTGCGCTCCCTGACCGGCCCCCAGCCTCGCTCAAGCCCCGGCCTCGGCTGCCTCACTGCACCCCCAAATGACGAGGAAAGACAGGGAACAATTTCCTAATCGACAAACGGGCCTTGTCGCAGGCCTCCCAATGCCATTCCTCCGCCCGCTGCAAACGCCCCCACTCCTTACGGGGTTCAGACGAAGCGCTGGCCTGTCCTTCGTCCCGTTTTTCCACTGAGGCTGAAAGGAATCTTTCTGCCCTCCATGTCTTTCTCTGTCACTCCCAGGAGGACAAGAAAGCTTGCAAGCGCGGGAAGTCCTGGGCGCCGGCTTCGGCACAGAGAGGGAGAAGCTGTGAGCCTCAGTCCCGCACACGGGCGGCTGGCGGCGGACCCCATTTAGAAGCAGGGTGCAGGGGTGGCCAGAGGAGGTCGTGCGGACAGGAGGGCCCACCCGTCATGACCCCACATGGCCCCTCACTCCCAGGGCCAAGAAGGGCATGGCGGGCTGAATGGTGGCCACAGAGACGGCGGGTCCCAATCCCAAGAACCGGGAAATGAGACCTCTTCTGGAAAAAGATACTTCGTAGATGGGGTTAAGTTAAGGATTCTGAGGTGAGGAGGTGAGCCTGGATCAGTCAGGTGGGCCCTAAACGGAATCACGCGCGGGACACGGAGGCAGAGGGAAGAAGGCCCCGTAAAGACAGAGGCAGAGATGGCACCGATGCGGCCACCAGAAGCACGAAGCAGGAAGGACGCCCCCCAGACCCCCCAGAAGCAGCGCGGTCCTGCCCGCCCCTCGATCTGGACTTCTGGCCTCCAGAACTGAGCGAATAAGTCTCAGCTGTTTTAAGCCACCCAGGTTGTGGTGCTTTGTTGCAACGGCCACCGGAAACTCATACAGGGGGCCAGGAAACCTGCCCCGCCCAGGCCCAGGCCCAGGCCCACGCCCACCTCGCAGGGAGGAAGCCGACTGGCTGCTCAACACTTAACTCCCCTGAACCGGCCTTCTGGGCTGGACACCAGCAACCAGGGACACGGGGCTCAGGCAAGCGGGGCGCTCTGGGCACCTCACTCTGCCCGAGTGCCTCCCTGGGAAAATGTGTCCTGGGTCTGGCTTTGCTGGACTGTGCTCAGGCGGAGTCCCGGAGACCATGGCTTGGCACACAGTAGGGGCTTGATATAGGTGAGCTACGTGAAGGCCTGAGCTGCCCACCCGACATATACCCACTCACAGCAGTGACGCTGCAAGCCTAGACATGCCACCGTTAGCACCATCGCTAAGGGTTACCGAGAACCTCTGTCAGACACAGCTCCCCACTGTTTTACACACATTATACTCATTAACCCTACGACGGCCTTATTATTAACCCTGCTTTATAGGTAGAAACTGCAGCGCAGAAAAGTAGTTTGCCCAAGGTCAAACTAGGTCACAGAGATGAGGTCTGCATCTTTGCCTCTAAGCCCTCAGTGGAGCCGAGGCCGAGTAAACTTGCGCCAGGCCCAGGGGTCATCCGCCTCTGGGAGGTCAAAGAGCAACACCTGGTCCTCACCCTCCAGGGGATCCCAAGGACGGTGACAAGGAACTCAGCCTCTCCTGCCACCGTGCTCGTCAAAGCCCTTTACGGGCGAAGATGGGCCTCTGCTCAAGCTAACACTCAGGAGAGCCAGCCCTGGGCTTTGCCTTCGCCAGGACCTGTCTCGGAAAAGCTTTGTTTTAGGCTAGAGTGGCTCACTCCCTGATTATTTGACTCTCCGGATGAGAAACAAACCCCAGAGATCGACGCCCGGCTACTAATCAACAGACTACGACTCGCAGTCCATCGGTGCAGTGGGAAAGCATCCCGCATGCTCCAAGTGGCAACCAGGTGCAAAACACAGCTACGGGGAGGTGCCAGTGCGAGGGCGAACAGGCGGACACTGCGGGGAGTCAGTTCCCGCGAGAGAAGACGGCTGCAGTGGGTGCGATGGTCAGACGCACGTCGCACGAGTGACAGGCACTCAGGCGCCACGCCGCAGTCATCCCGGCTGCGAGTCCCGGAATGGAGTCTGGGCATTGCGGGGTGCCGGACAGTGAGGGGGACATCCCAGCATCTCAGAAAGGAGGCAGCTGGAGAGAGAGGAAGCCCCGAAGTCTGTTCGTGAACTCTGCGCAGGTCCTTGGCCAGCCCCGAACTGTCCGCACAGGAGAATCCAAGAAGCAGAAGCAGGCAGATGGCAGGCTGGGCACAGCAACTGGAGATGACGGCAGAGGCTTCAGGTTGAGTCCAGACAAATTAACTTCCAGAACAAAAGTCAACACTCATCACCAAAAAAAAAAAAAAAAAAAAATCACTACAATGGATCATCCATGATGTCCAGTACAATCAAATATTACTGGATGTTCAAAGAAACCAGAAGATGGGACCCACAGTCAAGAGAAAAAGAGGCCAACAGAATTGACTCTGAGATAACCCGGTGGTTGAAATTAAGGCAGCTAATATAGTATGATCAAGGACTGAATGTAAAACATGGTCGCAGTAAGCAGGTGGCATATCTCAGTAGAGAAATGGAAGCTCTAAAAAAGAAGCCAGTGAAAATTCTGGAAATAAAATCTATAGTGACGAATTTGGAAACTCACCAAGTGGATTTAATAGCAGACTGGAGACAGAGAAAGGGAGAGTTAACTTGAAGGCAGATCAATAGAAATGATCCAACATGAAAAACAGACAAAAGTTATTTTAAAAATGGACAGGGCGTGAATGCCCAGTGGAACATTATCAAACATCAAGTATAAATGTAATAGTAATACCCAAAGGACACGAAAACAGATGGGGTAGAAAAATATTTGAAGAAACAATGACCCAATTTTTCCCAAACTTGGTGAAAAATTATAAACATACATCCAAGAAGCTCGACAAATCCTGAGCAGGACAAATACAAAGAAAACTCCCATAAGCACATCACCTTCCAATTGCTGAAAGACAAAGAGAAGATGTGGAAAGCAGCGTCAGCGACAACTCGCAGGGACAACACACTGTGACAGGGCTAAGTTCTCACTACAAATACAGGCAGCCAGAAGACATCGGAACGACATGGTCAGAGGGCTGGGAAAAAGACACTGGCGACCCAGAATTCTACATCCAGCAAGAAGATCCTGGAAAAGTAGAAGAAAATACAGACATTTCAGATAAGTGAAAACTGAGAGAATTTGTCATTCACAGGCAAGGAATGCTCAAGGAAGTGTTTCAAGCTGAAGAGAAATGATACCAGATGGAAACTCAAATCTACAAGAAGGCATGGAGCACACCAGAAAATAGTGAAAATGTGACCAAATATTTAAAAATACTGTTTTTTCTTAAATTCTGTAAAATACATATGACTTTTCAAAGCGAAAATTATAACGCGGTGTTGTGTGGTTTACAACACGCAGACGTAACATGAATAATGACAACAGCTCAAGGGGAGATAAAGGGAATTTACTATTATAAAATTCTTACACTTTATATAAAATGTTACAAAACTTACACTAAACATACGACAATAAGATACATCTTTTAGACTATTAAAGAGTAATGCAAAGAAGTATACCCAAAAAGTCAACAGAAAAATTAAAATAGAATACTAAAAAATGTGGTGCATATATGTTACACATACACACGTGTATGTTACATGAATATACATACATACATGTGTGTGAACACATATATGTACACATTCAATCAACCCAAAACAAGACAGGAAAGGAAAAACAGCAACGACACAAAATAGGACAAACAGAAAACAAATGGTAAACACAAATCAGGCATATTGATATTCACGTGACATGGAAATGGAAAACTATCCAATAAGAGCGAGGAGTGGGTGGCAGAGATGCAACAAAGCTGCAGAACATCACAGCTGTCAAAGCCAGCGACAGGTCCGTGGCAGTTCACTATAACCTTCCATTTATTCTGCACCTATTCAATATTTTCTACAATGAACACTTAAAATTGGATTTAAGAGTATTCTAAATATTATTTATGTCCAACCCCCTGAGCTGCTATGGAAAAAATTGTACTTATTGTTTATTTATTAGCTAATAAAAGTCTTCAATTTGGGAGATATTTAAACACTAAAAAATGTAAGTGGACAAAACATTCACATTCAAAAGCAGAAACTATCGGACTGGATAGAAAAGCAAGACCCAAGGAACTACATGCTTTATAAGCGGCTGACCTTGAATACGAGGACACAGACGGGCCGAGAATGAAAGAATGGAAAAGCCACACCGTGCGAACAATAAACATGGGAAAGCTGCAGCCGTCTTAATGTCAGACAGAACACACTTCGACACAAAAGCTCCGTTCATCAGGAAGACAGAATCACCAAAAATGAGTGATTACAGAGCTTCATACTTGAACCAAACCTGAAAGAACTAAAGACAGAAAGAGGCCAAGCCACAGCCAATGTCAGAGATTCTAACACCTGCCTCAGCGACTGTTAGAACTGAGTCCTCACAGTCAGTGCTAATACAGGAGACGGGAACACAGTGCGCTGCCCTTCTACGTGCCAGGAAGTTTCGGGTGTTTGAATTTAGCCACTGATGATTCTGAGAGAAAAAAAAAATCATGCCTGGTGTCATAGAGGATATACTCTAGTGAAAATAGAAGGGAAAAAAAGGAAAAAATTTTTAAAAAGAATAAAAACTCAAAGTAGCCTCAATTATTATCTTCTAAAAGATAAGATCTTATAACTCAAAATGAACAAGGTATTATTTTGAAAAGTAGAAAAGGGAAATCAAAATTAAAGAGGACTCTTGAAAAATAAAAAGGATAATGGAATAAAACAATAAAAGGAAGGGTTGGAAGACAATGGAAAACAATCTCTCAAGAGCAAGACAAACATCAAAGACCAACGAGAGGA